AGAGGGAAGCGGAGGGGAAGAAAGGAGAAGGAAAGAGGGAAGCAGAGGGGAGGAGAGGAGAAGAGGGAAGGAGAGGGAAGCAGAGGGGAGGAGAGGAGAAGGAAAGAGATGGAAAGAGTTGGACTGTCGATGTAAAGTTGAAAATATGATGTATTATAAAGGAAAACGCGTAATAAAAATATTTTTTATGCAACAACAAAAAGATTCCACAGGTAGACAATTGTGCTTTGTTTACAAATCTTGGCTGGAGGGTTTCATTTAAACCAGAGTTTGCTGGTTCAGGTAAAACATAGTTTCCTCCAACCCACACCAAGCATGATCAGAATTATGAATTGCAAGAGAGAAGGAATGGACGAGGATAGAACCCGCTTCCAATCCTCCACACCAGGAATGGGATGCAAATATTTTTACTAACAGTCCTGTGGGCGTGTCCAGGTGGGTGCGGCCATGTGACTGGGTGGGTGTGGCTTCTTTTTTTTGTGCAGCACCCCGTCCCCCCTGTTTTTTTTGCCTCTTGGGCCTCAGGGAAGCCTCCTGGGCAAAGCAATAAGATAGCGAGGGGTATTGTGGAGGAGCTGATCATCGGAACAGCTGATCATTGGGAGAAAAAAAAAATACCGATTCGGCCGAACTGATAGCTGTTTTTTTTACTACTGGTTTGGCCGAATGGTAACATTTTTTTACTACCGGTTCGTCCAAACCAGGCCGAACTAGTAGAATACCACCACTGCTCCACGTCATCGTAAAAGACTAGAATAAGGACAGCACTTGTGGAAGGACAGAATGAAAACTGACACAGCAACAAACCCCTGCGACTACCAACCATCCAAAGCCCGAGACGTACTTTTCATGGATTTTCAGGACCCGATGCACGATTGGGATTTCTCTCCCTTCTATCCTAAAGACAACGATTTCCCCCACTCTGATCGGCTGTTCGACGCGGTTGGTCAAGAACAGAAGATCGCCTCTGTGGAAGGCGGGTTCCATGCTACCACTGGAAGATTAAAAAGCATCTGTTAATAATAATAGTTTTTTTTTTTTAAAAAAAATCACCTCAAATTCTGCATTTTTGCCTTCAGGTGGGAGTAGCCCTGTCAGTTTTAGAGGATTAGAGCAGAGGCCTCCAACTTTGGCAACTTTTAAGACCTGTGGACTTCAACTCCCAGAATTCCTCCTCCAGTCATGTTAACTCAGGAATTCTGGGAGTTAAAAGTCCACAAGTCGTAAACTTGCCAAGTTTCAAGACCCTTGCACTAGAGAGTTACACCCTGGGTCCATTTACTAGAGGAATTAAGACAAGGAGGCTGCCTTCTGATTTTCTGGCACAGACATGTACAGCCCGCTCTGCAACCATAAATGCCAAGTTGTTGCACACAGATTGTGTCTTTCTGTCTTCCCCGCCAGCTGCCTTCCACAACAGATGGAACAGTTTTGCTTGCTCATTTTGTACTCAGCAACAGCTCCCCCTTATTTCAAGGGTGCAAATAAATGCTTTCTTTTCTAATTCTTCCCCATCTGTTTTCTCTCTGATGTCACATCAACTCAATGGCAAGGTAAGGAGTGCCTTTTCATTTCTGTAAAGAAAAGGTAGGGGAAATGTGGAGCTTTGTGATGAATGCACATAGGTTTTTAGGGGATATAATCTGGAATGGATTTGCATCACTGTCCCTGTAAGGCAAGGGTCTTCAAACTTGGCAAGTTTTAAGGATTGTGGACTT